CTCGATGTGTTGAACCTATGCGCATTTCAATTGAAAAGTTTCTTTCTGAACAAATAACTCGTAAAAATGAGCCATGAATACCTGAATTGCAGAGGTAAGTTTAGCATAGCCGTCTGTCAAAACTTCATCAAGGCTGTCGATAAGGTTGAGAAAGTCCGGATCAAATTTTCCTTCACCTGAGCCATACATGAGATAAACACCAGCCAGTGAATGATGAATACAAGCTCTCATCTAAAATATGGACATAACATTCTTGTAAAAAGCTTCAAATAATCCTGGTAAATGAACACCTTTGCATACAAAGAGGTTAGCTTACCTCAGCCAAATCTTCATTTTCTACAAGTTTTGCTGCAGCATTCAACAAACCATAAATTACGTTCGAGAGCTTTTCAGAGCGACCTTTAGCAGATTTCTCCATCAAATCAAGCGAAAGCTATAAATATGGGAAATTTGCACAGAAGAAATGCGACCGTTAATATGCTCACTTTATAAAGCAGCGTGACAACAGGCACAAGAAAAGGATTCCAATTTGGATTGCAAGCAAGATCGGGACAAATACTGGTCAGGTCGTACAATTTCATATCAGTAGAACCCTTTTCTAAAAGAAAAAGTTGTACCTACAGAATAAACACAAGCCATAGTAACCGTTCTTGACTCGCCTCTAAACAACCAATAGGTGTGGCCTTGCTCTGTCATGTTCTTCGAGAGGAATGACATAATATTCTCGGTGATGTTCTTGAGATTCGATGGATCAAATTCGGAGCCTGTGATATGCGGAATTTCTTCCTTCACAAGAACTTCGTAATCCTTAAAGTTAGAGTACATAGTGCCCCCACACAAAATAGTGAAAATTAAAGCAAATTTCACCTTAACGAGCCCATGTTCATGATAAACTAATATAGTCTCAGATAGGTTACACATGAGTTGATCCAACATGATATCCATACCAGTAAGAACAGAAATTGGCTTTGTTTCTTCGCTAAATGACTATATATGCTTCACCTCTACTTTGCAACGCTTGCAGAACTCTTCGGGAGTTTTGCAGAATTTAAAACAAGTCATTAAAA